TAGTAAACGCTTGAAGCACACACTACTTTATTATACTCTTTACAAAGGATGGCCAGAGAAAATGCACATTTTTTTTGTGATCCTCTTATGTTTCATCAGACTAGTGGTTAGACTGTTTTCCCCATATGTGGAAGACTCACTTTAATAATCTTCTCTCCACACAGAACCTGAAACCTTCCTGTGTTAATTTTCTACCTAACAAACAAATGCTATTTTTCAACAGGCTCTGGAATTCTTCCTTATGAAGTTGTTTCACTTTGCACAGGATACCAGCAAATTTATTGGATAAGTGAAAAAGAAGCAGCATAAATTAGTATAGCTAGAGATGACATCGCTCAGTTATAAGAAATGAGACTGGATTCTGCACCAGTGAATGTAGCCATAAGAGCATTTGGGGAGAAGCCACCACTTGGAGGCACACTCTCTATATGCCAGTTCTCTGGGCTGGCTAACTCTCCTGTTGACCCAATAAATATCTGATTATTCCACAGGCCATAAAGTAACTTCTAACTCTGAGAAGTTGAGGCCGGGAATTATGATCAGAAATCAGTATCTTCTTGTATCCAAGAATAAGTTGGCCAAAATCCATTCTGTGTCCAGAGGGACAGGGAATATGACTGAATCCTGGCCTCAGCATCTCATAGTACCTAGCCCCCACACAGTGTGCTGGACTCTGTGGAAAGTATTTTTAAGGGCCTCATCCTTCCTCATGTGTTACCTAAGGAAACTAGGTACTGAGGTCAAGGTTGTGGATTGCCTCAGGTACATGGGTGCTGACAAGATATGTGTATAACAAACAGTTTTCCAATCCTAAATCCTTTTTCTATCTAGCCCTACACCGTCAAAGTTGTCTATAAAACCTGAATTAATGGTACGTATTATGTGACAGTATCCTGCATACGTAAAAAGTCTCATGCCTCAACAGATTATATTATCCAGCACACATGTATTAATTAGGAAAAAAGTAAAATTTATTTATAGCTACACTTATGAAGAAAATTATCTATATTAACTCATAAAACTACTAAAAACACTAATAAAACTTGGATAAAAGAACAAAACCTGAATACTAATATATGCACCTTTTCTTGCTAGACTAAGAAAATAATATAATTTTTGTAGAATTATCAGGAAATTAAAGTTTACAACTGTAAACCACAAATTAGTTCTGAAGGCATATTAAAATTAGAATATAATAACAAAGTATTCTTACCTCCAGTTTCTTGTATAAATTGCTCAGTTCAGATGGTGCCTCTAGGCTTTCCTCACATTTTTCTCTGCTTTCAACTTTTTTTTGTTTTAACTGATGTGACTGTAGCTTTTCATAACTATGTGTCAACTCTGAAAACTAAAAATGAAAGCAGAGTTGAACATGCAGAATCTATCAAAGATGACCAAGTGGCCAAAGTTTTCTTTATGCTGGAATAGCCAACTGCAGCTTCACCATTCTAAATATTTAATCAATGTAACAAAGAATTAAGAAAGTTAATTTCTTAGACATGAACAAGACTAAGCTCTCATATAAATGTTAGCTAACTGATCAAATGGGTTAATTTGACAGCTACTTAATTCTGCTGAAGTTCTTTATGGCACTGTTACCCATAGTGTCATTTCCTCTACAATGTTTATATGAAATGTTCTACACTTGTTTACTGCCATCTTGTGTTGACATTTTTAAAGGGTGCTTCACTAGCCAGAATGAGGGATTATCATTAATGTATTTTAAACTTGCATGTTTCTTTTTTACCATGAAAATTGTTGAAATGTTAGGTATGTGATGATTGCATTCTCCTGGAACCACTGAGTACCAAAGACTGTCTATGAGAATTAGACACTTAATACTGTTGTGCCTATTGATCTTACCATGAAAGCGTGGCTTAGGAGTCAGAGGCAAAGGAATCAGAGGCAGAGAGGGGAAGGTGCCAGTAGAAGTTCCAGCCTCTGCAGAAGGTACCAGCCTCTTCAGAAAAATGGCCAGTCTGATCAACAGTTAGCTACACTGCACAAGCAAAGGGGCTAGTGGCCGTTAACGGATTTGATACACCAAACTGACATTGTCTGGTAGAGATACGTACATCTGGTTTTGAAAAAAAAAGGAAAACCAAGGATATTGACAAAAGAAACACTAAAAATATGGTCTTGAGGGAAGAAGAGTGAAAGAACTTTGCGAAGAATGTTGACTAGAAAAGAAACAACTATGAATACTAATCATGTCTCTTCCCTTAAATTCAGGTGTATATGATGGCTTACATTCTCTGTAATAATTACAGCTTCTCTTAAAAAATTCTGACTCTAACATAACGTTCTTTGCCTAACAAAACAAAATCCATAAAATCTCATATTTTTGTTAACTGCTCAAGTGAACTACTGTCTGGAAAAGAAATTACTCCAAGGAGGTAACTGGAAATGGAATGGAATTCTACTGGATCTACCTGGAATGAGCAATTGAGGTCTGTGCAGATAACAAAGGTGGCCAGAAAAGTCCAGAGAAGATACAGAACAGAAACTGGAGTTCAAAAATCATCTGGAAACTTCCTAGAGACATTTGACATGATTTTGGGAACTCATAAAATGGAACAGCAAAAAGAATTGAAAAGATGACCAGAAGATAGATTGTCCTAGACTAGAAAGTTTCATGAAATGGGGAAGTCCAGGGATAGATTTGACCAACTTCGAATTTCTGAATAGAAATCCTGTAACATGGCCTTACAGAGCTGAGATATCACCTTCAAAACAAAATCAAAAGTCTGGCAGAGAAGCTGCCTATTTTTGAAATTGACCTTGCCAGAGAACGCAGTTAAGATAAAATATTTAAAATGGGTCAGATTATCCAGGCGCAAACAACATGGAACTCATTGTCTTTGGAAGAAAGGTATGGTTTTTCAAATAACAGGATTTTTGCTCTTTAATATACTATGGCACATGTGGACTGCCTGGGAAGGGCAAACCCAGATGAAGACAGGTATTAGACTGTTCATGCTAAAAAGGCTAGCGAATACAGGATGCAACACTTCGGCAAATCAGTCTAAAAAGGAACAGAATGGCCAAAATTGGACAACTTAGTTTGAATATTAGATTTATTTAATGAAAGTAGAGTATTTCAGACAGATTATAGTCTGGATGTTATCACAACCAGAAACTAGAATAAAAGCCAAGAATCCTTCCATTTAATGCTATAATTTGCTTTAGAAATAAGGTCCAAGTTGTTCTATTTGCATGTTGTACAAGTAAATAAACTAAAAAGATGAGGCATTTTAGTGAGTTCTGGGGTAGGACTCATCTAAGTTTAGATTTCTGAAAGTTAGACATCCAAGCCTGAGCTACTCTGCGTTAGAAAAGGCCGCCTCCAAATGCTTAGTCATTTCAGCTATCTTAAATTCTTGTCATACACTGGCATGAATTATATTCTAAGGGTGTCCATTTCCCTCCATTGATTCTAAAGGGAGCCTGAGGTAGCTCAGACGTAGCCATATAGCTTTTTAATGTCTAACTGAGTAAATAAGTTGCTAAAGTGCTTAGAGCAAGAATGGATTCTTGTTCTTTTGCTGAGGGATTTCTGTCATTTTCAAAATGAGAATAACTACTAAACATTAATAAAGAAAAAAATGAAGGAAGAAAAAACTGAAGGTGAACCCCTAAAGTTTTTGCTATTTAATTATGACAAAATGTTGTACATTTGAATGAGTGCAGCAGTGTGGCCTAAGAGTTTCAGGTTACATATCAGGAGTTATTTCCCTAATACAAGAAAAATACAGGTTTTACTGCATTCGACAGGCACACAATCAATTCAGTGGGAATGTTGCTCATTAAACAGCTGCTTTTATCAGTAGCAAGGGTAAAAAGCACTGAGGGCCACAGAAGCAGTATATCAGAGAGAAATTTCTTTGGAATAGCCTAGCATTCTTAGAGCTAGTAAAAGTGATCCTTTCTATTTCTACCAAGATTAAGAAGGAACAAAAATTGGGAGAGATTTTACGAATACCTCTGCAGAGAAAGATACAATGCTACTAGTAAATAGTAACACTCACACCATTTGTGCTAAACTAAATTGTAGCTCTTAAGATTATACAGTGTAGAAGGAGGTATAACTTTCAAGTGAGGATAAGAACCGAAAGAAGGGAGACAAAAGAGATAAGGCAAAGATTAATATTGTGAGGGAAGCTCTACATTTTAGATATGAGTTTGTGCAGCTGAGAATCGGGGACATTAAAGTCATTCTATTGTAGACACTGCAGTACTGTAATTTAAGGAAGAAACTCAATAAGGAGACGTAGTAAGAGCTAGAGGAGCAGAGTGGGATAGTCCTGCTGTCTACCATAGGTGCTTGGAATTGTTCTGACAGGCAAACTTTCTGTTTATCACCTAGAGAATCCAGGCAGGCCTCCTAACTTAGCCACTCAACACTTGGGTCAGTGCACACTGGATGGATATTTCATGAAGAAATAAGGTTTGGTGAAAGGGGAGGAATGGGAACCGGAAAATAAAATGCAAATGGAATCAGTGCTGGAACCTTTGGTAAAATAAATAAGATGACTGAGAGAGAATGAAATGTTTGGAGGCATAGATTGGGAAAGGGATGTATATTCTTAAGAGCTAGAAATCCAAACTTCTTGCATAAAGATAAAAGGAGAAGCAATCGGGAAACTGAAATAAAGGTTAGGTTGTCTGAGGGGTAACTAAAAAGGAGAATCTTGGCAAGAAGTACAACCAGGTTTAGAGAGAGACGCTTGTAGGTTAGGAGGTGTCAGATTCTTTAAAAAAACACAAAGGGAAAACAGACTGTATTTGCCCATGTGTACTGGGTTTGCATGGCAAGGTTTTGGTAGTGGTGGGGCTACAGGGGTGGCTTCTGTGAGGAGCTGCTAGAACATCCATACCATCCATATGGTATGGATGAACATCCATACCATCCATACCATTAGGCATGTATAAGCTCTTTATCCTGCAATCATAAAATAATGAAACTGACATTTTTCTTACTTGAGATTTCAGTGCTTGAAGCTGAGTTTCATAATTCTGAGCCATTTCATATTTAGTTTTCTGTAAGTCTTCCAGTTTCTGTCGAAGTAGTCCCACCTACAGTTAGAATAAGCATTCAAATTTACCATTTCTGAAGGGTTCCAAAATACGTAATTTTTGGAATAGTAATTTGAAACTTTGAAAGAAGACTGTTGCTTAAAAGATAGATATTAAAAATGTATATTAATTCAGTAACTTAACAATAAAACTGGATACCACAAACCCAGATTGTATCAACATCAAATTAGGGATTTTATAGTAAAAAATCTCATTGTATGCTTATGTTATGATTTAATGATAATACTGTATGATTCTGTCATGAAAGACCATTTAATGAAAGCACTTCTGACACAACTATACGAATGAACTGCTGTGCCCTTTTGTGAAAATTTTGCTTGAATAGTTTATATAATCACATAAACGACTTTCAACTACTTATGGAAAATTATTGGGAGACACTGTAGACTCATTTCAGCTCCCTAAGTACAGTGCCATTTGAGATATCTTGAATTATTTCAAGTTTAACAGAGATCGGAGAAATATGACAAAGAGCATACATGACACCTATGTTTTTCTGGAGGGGCAGCTGGAAGCTAGGTGGAATATGATAAAATGTTTCAGATTATGTCTCTGTACAGGCAAATAAATTGGTGCTTTAAGGACTGGCTAGCTGAATTATTCTCTTGGCTCCTCTGACTGCAGTGACTAAGGGCAAGTTCCTAATTGCTCATTAGGGAGAGTTATTTCATTTTCAAAACTCCCACTGGCAGTTTAGACACCTAGCTCACACAAGGATGCCTGTGTGCACACGCCTAACTTCAGATGTCTTGAACTAGAACTGAATGCTGTGCTAGGATTTACTGATGCTTCTGAATGAATATTCAGCAGACAAGACTGTGAAGTACGGACAACATCAGGTACACCAGGGCTTTCAGTTTGATAAGCACGTCTAAGTGGTAATACAATTCAAATCTTCACTATTAGTAATAAAATTATCATACAAAAACAGTATATCATGTAAAATGATAAAAATCAGGCATAAACAGGAATTACAAAGACATAATTTTGTGAAACTTTTTGAACTGTACATTTCCATTTAAAATTTCTGATGAAACTAGAAGTGTTGGCATTTAGAAAAAACATCAAATTATCTTTTTACAGCTAAACTGAGAATATTTAATTTAGACTTTGGGGAAATAGAAGAAATATGAGACTTTCAATGACATTTTTACAATCACTTTTCAGAACAGAAGCACACTTTAAAACAAAACACTAAGGATAATTAGTGACCTTTAAAGGGTGTTTGGTATTTTTACATGATAGAACAAACAGGCCTCTTTATAGAGCATTTAGAGCATACTATTAACTAACTCCCAGAATAAATACTTTCTTTATAGAATGTGATATTTTTAAATACCTCTTGACCTTTTTGATCCAGTTTGCTTTGGGCACTTGCTAATTCTTTATCCTGGATATCCATCTTTGCTTCTAAAGCTTTCATCTTCCTTTCCCATTCCACTTTCTTGCTGTTTACCATGATGTCAATTTGATGCACTAATTCCTGAAGTTCAGCTTCACATGGAGAAGGTCTAGTAATATAAAAAAAAGAGATTTATTTTTTTAAATAAAGAATAAGGGAGAAAACAAATTTTTATTCATTTCTGATAGAAATAACCACTTTTCAACATCGGAAAGAAAGAAATGGGAATGCTAAATGATGCCTTCAAATGTAGGTGGAATCTCACTCCATCTATAGGTTTGCCTGAAGTCAAAATCAGAGTATTTAGCATATTCTGGACTTTTTGCCCAGCTTAAATGCTGTTTGATACCCTTTCACTCTTTCAGGGATGAACTGTCAAATGAGCATAAGTTGAGTTGAAAGTATCCAGGCCCCAGCCTGGACAAGAGTAGGAGAAGCTGAATATTAAGTTGTTTATGGGCACAGGACTTCCCACTAAGGGCACATAATGATGGAAGCAGAGTTTGTTGGAGGAAGTTCTTGAACAGCTGGCTTGAAAGCTAGCCACAATTCTTAATTGCTAGTTCAACTTACAGTCTGTTTTCCCATTCTCTTTGTGGAAAATGGACTTAAATAACAAGGTGACTTGTATAATAATAGTAAGTTTTAATTCTACTAGGAAGTACAGAAATGAGTGCATTTTGAAAAAGGACTTGCCTTTGGGGGACCACGTACTGGATTTTATAGAGATTTGTACAATATCTGCAACATAAACATTAGATTTTTTCCCAAACTTCTGAGGTTAAATTTGGAATACATCCCTTACACGATGACTTCGTTGTCAGTAATAGACAATGTTTTACACTGTTGCTTTAGGAATATGTGTCCTAAGTAACAACATAATGATATATGGTTAATTTATGGCATACTAGAAGGGTCATCAGAAACTGAAAGCAGTCAAAGTTGCCCTCTTATAGAGCCCCGTATGTAGGAGCAGTATATTAATTTAAAAAAATGAAACTTTGTCCGGACAGCGTCAAACAATGTTTAAATCAGCTGGTGTACAACATTTAGCAGATATATACAAAGCATCTGAACTTTAGTATGCAGATTTCTTTAATCCATATCCATTCCAATTTTGTATTTGATGACGAATATAAGAAAAATTTGAAATAAGAAAGATACAGATTATAGAAAATTTGGCTGTGGATACTTTTTAATGTAAGAAATTGAATAATTCTTTCTACACTCTAAAACTTTTTATTTGTAGAAATGACTATGTCACATCAAAATTATACAGTCCTTCTAGAATATATTTTTCCTGAAGTATTTTGGAGAGTTTATTGCCCAGTTAACCTCTATTGTTTTATGAACTGATAGCTGCTCTCAATCTGTAAATTTACAGCTGGCATTTCAGATTTGCAATGATTTAGTTAAAAGTCAGAATCTTTCTAGAACTCACGAATCTTTTCAACTTTCAGTGAAACATTCCAGTTAGAAAAAAAAATTTATATCATAATTAAATAAAACTGTTTATTGAAATGTTCCTGAATATTTTATTTTCCTGACTGACTGCCTCTTACCCACTTAAACCTAGGATTCTAAGGTTTGGGAAAAAGATAAAGCAGACAATGTACACTCCTGCCTAATTCCTCCCCATAAAATAAAGAAGGGGAATTTTATTCCATTAACACTCAGACCTGCTTTTGGACTGTTGCAAAGAAGAGTTAACTATTGAACAAATTGCTTAACAATGTATATGAGCCCATACATTTTCTATAAAGCTTAATTTTCCAGTCATATGGAAGAAAAAAATCAGACTGTTTTCTATCACTATGATTAATTACACATCACCAAAAAAACCCCGTCATTTGTCAATTGTTAAAGACTTCAATTTGATCTCAGTTTACTTAAATTGAGATACGAGATCAGAACTAGTTGATAGATAAAAGCCTTTAGCGGACTTACTCACCACTGCAATGCTTGCTTCATATCATTTATTGAAATAAAATTATTTTCATCAACTTCATTTCTTTTTGAAAATGCCACGATTTCTAACCATTTTTAGTCTGTTCAGAGTTCACAGAATTTTGGATGTAGATAACTTTTATACTAAGAACCAAAAGGGGCATGTATCTCACTGGAGTGAAGGAAAACCTTTCACTTACTGTTTTTAGGCAGTGGAATAATGTGTTGAATTTTTAAACTTTTGAGGAGTAGCATCTCTTTCATTTCACCTTCTGTAAATATTTACTTTCCACACAATTTTTTTAGTGGCATCTGTTATTTGCATATCCTGTTCTCATAGGAGTTAACTGCTGATAAACTTTTCCAGTTCGTTTTTGGAGCTTTTTTAATATCGTTTCCTGTTCTAGTTTTAATTGCCTTACATTTTTTTTCTAAGTAAGAGATTCTGTTTATAAATTACCCTAATATACCACTTTATTACTTTCTTTAGAAGACATACTTTTATCTTTATCACATATTGGAATGTATTGAAATGTGCCATCTTTAGTCGTTGCGACCTTATCTTGGCCATGAAAAAAAATTTCTCATTTAAAGTCTTCAAATTATTCTTTTCAATGGTATGATCTGATCATTGTGAAAATTTCTGCATTTTTCCCTCTGCAACAATTCAGAGATTAGTGTATTCAATTACTGCCATATCTAAATGAAGGTACAAATAAAACCAATGTTGTTTCTCACTGTCAACTCTCTCTCCCTTATCTCAACCAGTCATACTGATAGTACACTGTTAGTGGTACACCTGCTTTCTCTCACTTTTTTCATCTGTCATAGTGACTATTCATTGTACAACTGAAGTTTAATCTGCATTTAATTTCCATTTCCTCATACTGTTGCATAATTTTCAAGTCTCTTCTTTCTTTTTTTGGTTTTGATTAGAAGCCTATATTGAATTTCCTGTTGATAAAACCAGCAATTGTATTCTTTCATAAATTTGTTAACTACCCCTCCTGATATCTAAACTGATGTAAAAAATGTATTGTAACCTATTACTTTTCATTAGAATAAAATTAACCTTCTGATAAACAAGTTTCTTCACTTCAATTGAATACAATTCAATTGAATACAATGCAGTTGAATACAATTCAACAATCTAAGAATGCTGTGACATTGTTTTCAGTTATGACATGTTCCATTTTCCTTTTAATAATATTTTTTATCTCACTGACATTTTCTCCAACAGTAACAGTGATAGCCACTGGTTATAATTTAATTGGTTCTTTAATTTATAAAAATTTAAAAGCTATGTTTTCTCTTGACTGCTGATGGTACACACCTCTGTGGCACATGAAGTGCCTTTATGATCGCTAATCAGTTTGCAGTCATTCTAGTATCTCTATGGTGGTTTGTTGAAATGAGCATAGCTATTTCCTTAAAATGAGCATAGCTATTATTTTATGAAATAATTGCCATAGAGACAGTCACGCAGAGACAAAAGATGGTGTAGCATCTGAATAATCTAGCAGCAACCTACAAAAGGGTTAATGATAAAAAGCACAGCAGTATGCCTGTAACCTCTCCATCCTAGGAAGCGTTGGAGAGGATTTCAATACCCAAAACTAGCACAGAATGCCATTTTGTGTCACGAACATTACAATCTGGCATATGTTTTTGGGGGACATTGTAACCAAGAATGCGCCAAGCAATTAGGAACTCTGCTTTTGCAGAAAGGGTTGGGTTAAGACCCAACACAAGCTGAGCCATGCACTCAGAGGTAATATCCCTATTGCCAGGGAGCCTTCAACTGCTAAGCGTGCTGCCAGCACATCGCTGAAGAACAGTAAGCTAACATGCTCCTCTTATGTAAATGACTGTGCAAACCAAGCCTTAATGTAAGCAGATGCTTTTACTCCTGGTAGTTGATACCACCATCTTGTGTGAATGTTAGCATGAAAATGCTTCCTTTCTTTTCTGGCAATCTTTCACATCCCAGCGCTTCAGCCGGCTCTCCAAATGTCTGCTCTACCAGTGCCCATGCAGACATACTGAAGTCCCCTCTCTGTTGGCTGTGCTCTGGGTCAAGTGCTGGCAGAGTTCCTTAACATGGATATGTGTTTATTGAATATCTTTTTTTGGTGCTTAAATGGTGCATATCCCTTGCTTTGATAACTATTACAGGAAATTGAAGCAACTTCGTTAGTTTTACTACATCATAATTAAAACTCAACATGATTTTTTAAAGTAAAATTCTTTAAAACTTTTTTATATCAACAAATGCTTGAAACTTTATCAGTGTTAAGCTTGGAAAAGCTTTTTAAATACACATATAAATCTTAATGCCTTTTTAATGTTAAAACTGTTAACAATGCCATTTTAAAATTTAATATGAGTCATAGAATGATAATAACCAAAATGCAAGCAGGTAGTAAGTACACTGTGATGTACGTATCACAAAACAAAAACGCCCCCTCCCCAAGTGCCTGAAACGCATCTCAAAATAGCATTAATGATGCAACAAACTTTGATTCCCTCTGGATGGAATATAAAATGGGATTTAAAAAACAGAAGATGAAGCGATACTGCATCAGGACTACCTTTTCTATGATACTGCTACAAGGACCTGTGCCCTTCCAGCCTCAGGTATTGTCAGGTGGCAACACTTTGGTGAACCACCAGCGATGACTCAGCTATCTGATTTTAGCCTTCAGAAATAGGTAAGTTCGTTATTGTGTGTCACATGGATCATCTCAGTATTGTTATGCCAGTGCAAATGCGACCTCTAGCCTGGATCATCAGGTGACGCTTTCAGACCCACCACGGCTGACATCTTTCTCTCTTAAGTTTCACCTATCCTTTTCAGATCATCCTGCACAAGGCAAGTTCTGCCGCGGTTGCTAGAAAATTTTTGCTGAATAGTTCTCGCATGTTTCTTGAACCTAGACCCACCAATATATAAACAGGAGTGGCTGAAGGAAAAATCCCTTCTGAAACAGCTTCTCAGTCTGTCTCCACCTTCTCTGTCTTCCTCCTTACCTAGATCCTCTAGGTACATCTGCAGCTGAAAAAGGAAAGCTGTACCTGAAGCTGTGGATTACCGCTGCTGTTCTGCTACCAGAACTACTCTGCATCATGGCTGTGGCATTACAAACAGATTTGCATAAAGATGTATTTGGCGGTTATCCCCACCGACTAGCATAGAGGTACTACTAGCTGCTCTATTATTTTAGTCCCTTCAGTGTTTCGAAAAGAGTGCTAACTATCCCCCTCCAAATATTGCCAATCACATGGTATCGCAATCATGACAATTTATTTTGATCACTGGGTGTGGAATGCAGAAAACTCTGGTACCTTTTGTTTAATATGCCATCCGGTAAACAAACACACAAAGAACAAGTTTTCCCATAAAACAAAGAAGTACGGGTTTTTACCCATATGAATTCAGCATTCCTACTTCGCTGAATGCATGCATCAAATGGATTCTTCATACATGGAAGTAATGACTTGTACTTAAGCAAGTGGCAGCTATTTTTTTTTTTGGTTGCATTTACTTTGAAACAGCTCAAAACACTTAAAGGTATCTCATTTTTAAAGTGATGTAAGCAAGCTCTTAGTTTTCTTTTATTCTATTTCCATATTGGTGAAAAGAGAGATGATTCATATTCTGCTGTCATTAATAACTATTTATCTTCATGTAAAATCTAGATGTTTCCAAATTTAGACAAACCAAAATCCAGATAATAAGTTTTACCAACTCTAGGCCTTTATCACAACTGATTTTTGCACTAGTTAGACCTTTTTTTTTGCTCTATTTATCTGCCTTTTGCTCTGGAGTTCTGCACAGATCTGTATTTTTCTGATTGTTTCCTAATAGATATAGAAAGAATATTATTGTCCATACACTTTAGAATAAAGTTGTAATTTAGAAACTGACATTTTAAGAAATGTTTGGTTCATACTGTCAGTCTCTACTTCATGCCTTCTTCCCTTATTTCTCAGGTTTGCTGACAAATAGGAAAATATGTATGACCATACTTATGTAAACACAAGCAAAACCTATGCAGAACAATGTTAATAAAGATTTCCATCTTACACAGTACATTCATTAGTTTTTGATCTTTAACCCAGCTTGTGGAGCCAATATTAATTCCTTTTCTCTTCTTAAAACTTGCTTTAAAAATAGGAAATATACAAACTGGTTGTGATACAACAGTCCATTAGAATCTTCTACCCCAAAGTTCCATTATATGAACTACAACTAATTTATTTAACGATTTTCAGCCATACACAATCATACACATCTGTGGATGGATAACTTGTGATTTATGAGTTCTTGCAGCTGGGATGTAATAGTCATGATATCTACCACCATTATTCAACTGTCTTCCCAAATTTTAAAGCATTATTTTCAGCATACTGTCAGCATCGACTGAAATGAATGTCTCCTATCATTGGATGTGTCTTCTAAACTACTCTTCTAGATTCTTTGTATAATTAATGGAAATAAATACCTACCTAGAATATGTGGTTTATGATGAGTCAAATCACTCCCTAGATTCATCTGCGATGGCCTGAAATGTCACATATGCCGATTACAACAAAGGCCAGGCAGGACCTGAACTCTTGAAATAAGCTTCTGATTTGTTAAAAAAGTGTCCAAAGAATAGCAATATTTTGATTTTTTTTTAAATTCAAGTTTTTTAAATCAAGCTTTTATATGACCATATTACCAGTCATATCACTAACAAAAAGAATGCCCCTCAAAGCCAAAAAAAAAGGGCCACATTGTTCAGAATATAATATTTTAATGCAGAAATCTTTTTCTGTCATGAAAAGTGCACACATTATTCTTCAGTACAACAGAGCACACTTTCAAATCCTATTAAAACAGTATTGGGCCAGAATATGTGTGTTTCTGTTATTTTAAGAAATACTTTTACACTTAATATGCATCATATTACCTTGAACTGCTTCTTGGTAATAATGATAAAAGAAACTGTTTTATACGAAAAATAGGTAATAAGTTTATATACAAATTATGACAGATAAATATTCTATTTAGCTCATTATATGGGGAAGTACTTTTTATATTGCTGTGTTCCTTGAACAGGCTGGATGGGATGAGGTCCTACATCAAATCTCCCCCATGTTTACACTTCTTTAGAAAGATTTTGTGCTGTACTAATATTTTTTTAGATTAACACTAAAAGAACTAAACTTGGATTATGTCAAAAAAAGATGATTGTGTTGTGATGAAAAGTGCACTTAACAGTTGGTAAGAACAATTCTGGTTATTACCAGTGCAAAATAAGACTAAGGCTTTAGCAATTAATAGCCTTGTTTTTAAGATTTTTGAATGTTTTAAGAGCTGTGATATGTAAGTTTATACTGCTGTAGCCTAGCAACTTCAACTATTTTTTAAAACAATTTAAAATAACATTTCTTAGCATTTTAATAAAACCCCACATAGCTTTCGTTTTTTCCCCTTTTGTTCAGGTATGAAGATTTAAAAAAATTAAATAACTAACAGAAACAGTCAGTAGATTATTAGCTAAAGTAATAAGATGTGTTGTCTTAATTATCAGTAACCTCTCCAGTTTGCACAGAAAGCAGCAGAAGAAATTGAGAAAGAATCACGTTTGCTTCTAAAATCATTAATATTTTGTTTTACATTTTTAATAAAGCCACATAATTCAATTCCATTATATATTCAACTCCGAGAGAGTAAGTCATTACTTACTTAGCAACAGCTTGTTCCTGAAACACTTCTAAGTACTGCTCCATATCACTGATTGTTGTTTTAACCTGTTGAAACAACAAAAATCGAGTAATTCAGATTCTTAAATGCATACATTTACACAGTCAAGTAGTGTATACCGGATAGTTCCATACTTTCCTTTGAATTTCTGTAATTCTCCCATTGCAAACAAGAGGGGCAGGGGAATGTAGCTCTAATTACAGGTTGGAATGGGCAAGACGAAAACTTCAGGAGTAAGCTCAGCAGCTCTCGCATTTGGTGTAGCACTGAGATTACTAGAGGTGGTGCTAGCTTGAGGATAGCCCTGGATTTCCATGAGGAGCAGTTTGTTTTGGGTCATTCCCTGCTGTGTGATGTCAATGATTTGCCAAGACACTCTAAAACACATGAACATAAATTTGTCATAGATCCATGGCTGCATTCATCAACCATTTCTCCTATGTTCACACACCCTAATTAACCTATACCGAGGCTGTAATTGCTTTCAAACACAATTTTAGACTCCCACTCACTATTCGCTCCCTTGCTTAGCAGATGCAGTGCTGAGGCACAAAGCCCTCAAGTACCTCAGATCAGAACAAGACTGCTGCTGGGACCAGTCTGGTTCTGTGGGTCCAGCAGGACACAAGGACAAGGGGCAAGCCTGGCTGCATGCAAGAACAGGAACCAGCCGCATTACGGGTGACAGGGTGGCATGAAACAGCCCTAATTCCTCCTGGGGGTGAGCAGTGGGGCTCTCCAGGGCACAGGTACCAGTACATACAGATGTGCGGACACTGCCACATGGCACTGCAGCCTTGGCTCCACAGGGGACCGGCACCTGAGGTGACGCTGCCACAGGGGCAGTGGCTCCACAGGGAACCGGCACCTGAGGTGACCCTGCCACAGGACCAGCACCCTTGGCTCCACAGGGACCAGCACCTGAGGTGACACTGCCACAGGGGCAGTCGTGGCTCTAACAGGGACGGGCAACTGAGGTGACACTGCCGCAGGACCACCACCCTTGACTCCACAGGAGGCCACCACCTCAGGCGACGCAGGCACGGGGGCAGACTTGGCTGCGCCGGGCACCTGAGGAGACCGGGGGACCCACCGCCGGTGCCGCGGCCGCCCCCTCCCCCACCGGTACCTGCCGCGCTGCCCCCCCGCACCCGAGGTACGCTGTGGTGGCCGCATGAGCTCCGCAGCCCGGTCACCCCCGCTCTCCCATCCCGCCCCAGCTCCCGCCTGCCGCCCTCCCCTCCCGCCGCGCCCAGCGGCCGTTGCGGATGTCGCCGCGGTAACGCGAAGGGCGGCAGGGCGAGGCGGGAAGGCGGGTGGCCGGCTGGGCAAGGCAGGCGGTGGGGCAAGGGGCGAGGCCGGGGCGGTGGCCCGAGGGGCGGACACAGGCTCCGGCCGGGTGCTGGAGGGGGCGGCGGGCAGCTGAGGGGGCGGGGGGGGGGCGGCGCGGCCCCCCGGGTGTCCCCCGTGGCTGCCGCAGGGCCCTGCAGCCCCCGGTAGCCGCCCATCGGTTTGAAGGAAGCTGGAGTGAATTTCACCTCAGGCAATATCACCCGGGATAAAGAACACTTACTTTTGCTTTGACATAATTTAAGAAATCAGTAGGCAAAGTGGTTTGGTTTTTTTTTCTTTTTTTTTTTTTCCCTTTAAAACGCTATTATTACTACATAACGAAAAGGCTGAACATTACCCTTTTCTTTCTGAATTACTAGCTATGCTTTTGTAAAATGGCTTCAGATTATTGTGCAAACGGCCTAGATTTGGATGACACTTCTCTTTACATTTTTGTGGACTTCAGCCTGTCTTATTCAACAACAAAACACTTTAAGAATCACAGCTATTTCAACTTCTTAGAGTAATAATTTGTGCTTCCAAACTTAGGGCTTATAGATCTCTTCAAACACCAGGGAATTTTTCTACCAGGACAGTACAATTCACTTTGTATTTATTGTCCTCAAATTTCATGGAGCATTTTCGGGAGCTGCTAGTCTATTCATAAACATTAAATTTCGAGCTTTTAGTTTATTTTGCTTGGACTGTTTTCTCAAATTAGCTGAGTGAACTGCATTTTTAATATCAGTTCTAAGGAATAATCTATTTCATTTGTTTCCTACTGACTGTGCTAAGGCAGATGGTTTTCATGTCAGCAGAAATATTGTTTCAAGCTATGAATTATGAAAAATATTTTCTAAAATGAAACATTAAGATAAAATTATATGCAGAGTTTCAGGAAAGTTCCTGATAAAGTTTGCTTACTCACACTAGAAAATAAAAGATTTTCCTTTGTAGTTTTCTTCAAGATTACTAAAAATGGTTTTATTTTTGCTTTACACTTTTTTCATGGCTGTTTTTCATGTCAGGAATATCCCAGGAACACTGCAGATCTTTATTTGTCAGGCAGCAGCAGGAGCAGCTGCTGGGTGAGGGCAGGTGAGCCCAGAGCCGAGGGTAACGGTGCGGTGCAGGGCAGCACTCTCCTCGACACGGTGCAGTCCCACAGCACCCAGCCAGAAGAGCAGAGAGGGGACAGGGACGGTGACCGGGGTCCACCACAGCCAAGGGATGGCCAGATAAGCCCGCAGCAATGGGCAGATCTGAAGTGACTCCAGAAGGCAAGTCAGCAAAATTAGGAGTGGCGAGGTGCGGTGCTGAGCACAGGCACAGTACAGCGTTGCTCAGGCAGGGCTCAGGGGCATGGTCCTGAGCTACAATGCTGCTCCTGAGCTGAGGGCACAGGCCCCCAGCACAGCATTTCACGGCTCTGGCTTGTAGCAGCCTTGACTGCAGGTTATGGCTGCACCATGTCAGAGCTGGCCTAGAGGACAGGCAGCCAAGCCCTTGGGGAAGAGGGGAGGAAGCTGAGGGACCTATTGCTGCAGTCAGAGCCCTGAAAACATTTTCTTCATTACACTTCCGTAATTATACTTTTATTCATTATTTCCTTACTGTAATAGAATTAATGTGAAGAAATCACACTGAAACATTTGATTTTTGATACTTGAAATATTTCACATACAATTTCTTCTAATTGAAATACTGTTTTAACATTTTTTTTTTAAATAGTGAAATTTAGGATGATTTATTTTAAATACTTAAATTTAGGATTATTTATTTTAAATACTTAAATTTAGGATGATTTACAGTATTATGTACTAGAAATAATTTTTAATGTAACTGCCAGCAAGTTTCCATTTGTTCATCTGGAGCAACTGAAGTGAACTTTTCAGCCATATTCCCAGTGCATATATTTTAATTTCCTCCCTGTCTCATCGTCTCTCAGTGGTAATCAGTTATTCAGAAATTTAACTTCCATCTGTCATGCCCAAATAGAATTGGGGGGGAAACTTAAAAAAATCCAGAAAAATAACTTTAAAATTACATATCAACATTTCAAAGCTTTTTAGAAGGACAATTCCCACTACCATTAGCCAGAGTTGTGTTTCTAACTCCCTGATGTGGGAATATCTCATTCACTATATTAAAAAAATCCCATATCAAATTGTTGACTTTTTCTATTTGCTTTTGCTCATCCACATCATCTCTTGACTAGAGCTTGTCTTATAAGACCCAAAACTTTTACTTGTTGACTTTAAAGAACATGCTTTACACATGCTTTACAAATTACGACAGCCAGCAAAAAAAAGGAAACTACTTTCAAATCAGTTTATAGATTAAAATGAATGGAAAGCTATAAGTACATTTCTGCAGAAAAAAAGGAGGTAGATGAGGGCAGGGACACAACAGGGTATGACCAAATGTCAAACAAGACAAGGTACAACATTGGTATTTGTATAAAAACAAAGGGAATTAGCTAGGAAGGTACCCGCTGTCACAACTAGCTGGTGACAAGAGAGTATAGGGAAAGCCAAGTAATGATCCAGGGGGTATAAAGTTCTATACCTTTAATAGCATGCCCCTTGCTCAGCCTGGTCCTGGGGTGCACACACCAAGGTGAGATTAACAGCTCCAGTAGAAAAACTGGAAGAAGTAGTGTAAAGAGAAATGTTGATCTTTCACTATCTGCAACTCTGAATTTGTTTTCCACTTTTTCTCTTTTATGCTGCATTGCAACACGTTATTGACAGGTATCCTGTCACCAACAGAGTATATGCTACAGATGTTCCTGTTTTGGAGAGAACCATGGAAAGCGAGTCTTATCATACACGATGTCTTTTGTCACTTTACATGAAGTTGTCGAGCTCTTATCGATAATATTTGTGAAGCACATAGCTATTTTAACAGACTTTGTTGAAAGAGAGGGAACATTAATTCTGTTAACAAATCCATTCCACCACCAAATTGTAATATGAGATTTTAAAGAAGTCCTAAGTAAAGCAAATGCTTTTAGTCTAATAATCATTCTGAGAATTTGGTACATTTCTAATAATAAATCAATAATATACAATTCAATGTAGCATATTTCCAGAGCAGAATAAAAGAAGTGGTGTTAAGGGAGTAGCATAACTGAGTTGTAATTTAAGTGATAAATGATTATATACCTACTGGTTATCCTTCCTAGATATTTGTCACTTGAATTCTTCAAGATATGTTATTTTTGTAGTGTAATATGTAATGGTAGGTAAAAGCTAAGTGCATTTGTGTATTTAACTTTAAATACAGTTTTTATTTACAGGATATATTCACACCATACCTTGCAATCTCAGATGACAAATTTGACTGAACATTTTGTTGCAATAGGCTCACTGTAGCTCTTATAAGAAATGCGCTCATTTCTTTAGTGTAGAAATCACATGGGTTTAGTGATATTTATGTGATGGATTCATAGCAGCTCTATTATAGTTTAATAATTACATTCTGTATGTTAGTTTAGATGTTTATAAACATACAAACTTAATTTACTCTAATAGAAGCTTGTTAGAAGTGACAGAAAGGAAAAGGAATAGCTCAGTATAAGCCATCCATCAACAGATATGCAGAAGTCACTGAGAGACAATAAAACCTACAAAAAAATCCCTAAGACATAAGCAATAAGAGAAGAATGACATTTAAAAAAGAACCTTTGCAA